TGTCGCGAGACCTTCCAGCCAGGCCCCCAGAGGAGCCTCCGAGGCGAGTTGATAAAGGACTGGCTAGGTAGGTGGGCACTGAGTCGTGCTGAGACCTGGCTGCACGGGTCCTGGCTCAGGACCTTTGGTACGGGTCCTTTGGTCCTGGCTTCTGATCAACTCTTGATTTGATATATCAAAATACATTTTTTCAAAATGCTTTATATTTGTGCAGCCACTTTGTTCCCTCTTTAAATCAAAGTTCTGAGAGCTGTGCAGCAATTTCTTTGTTTCTGAGTTTAATTCGGTAAGGAGAAGATCTTCTGCTGTGATTGCTGAGAAACAGGACTTAGTGGTTTACAGAACAAAAGATCCATAATTGAAAAGAGATGAGATTTTATTTTAATTATTTTCCTTAAAACTACCACTGTTTAGATTAAGGCTTTGGTTCCCAAGAGAATAAATTGCACATAATGATAATGAGATGTTAGTTTGAAGCTAATGAATAGAAGTTTATATTTATGCTTCTGTCATAGATTGTTTAATTCAAGAAAGACTTTTTTTTCAAAAGCATTTACAGTACAGGTTAAAACATAAATTTAAATCTTATTTGGGAAAAGTATGTCTGCTTTTTATTTTGTTATGCTGACTTTTTGAATAATGGTACATTAAATTTAGTTATAAATGCAGTTATATAGAATTACTGTTAATTGTTACATAAGATAATGAATTTCCTTAAGCAGAGTCCTGGAGGAAAAAAAAGATTTTACACTTCATTGTAATTCAGTTGCATTTGGGGAAAAAGAAATGGGAGAAAAAACAGCAACGATTTTGTGGCTTTCCAGATTGCTGAGTGTGTCTGCACGTGCTGTGAAGAACGTCACTGAAATGGTAGCGGTGTTGCGTGTGGAACTGAACAGACACCTTGGGGCTTCTTCCTTTTTGAACGGCTGGTGTAAATCCCTTCTGGTGCCTGCCCTTCCGTGCGGGACGTGGGGCTGTGGGTGGACAGTGAGCTCCGATGTTCAGCTCTTCCCAGTGGTGGTTGTTGGGCCACTTGAGTGGGAACAAGGAGAAGGATTAAGCATTACCCTGTGTAGGAGGAGGACATTGTGCATCACCTGCAGGGACTTCTTGAAAGCATCAGTATTTAAGTGTAGTGATTAAAGCTAGCTATTCAGTGCTTGACTTTCTGTTGACTTTGTTTCCCTGAGACTTCCTTCCGACTGATCTCGGGTAGCAGTCTTCTTACCCTACGCAACTATCCGAGCAAAAGCAAAGCTTTATGAAAATTATGAAAGAATAAAAAGTAGGTAAGAAAAGTGTAATTACCCAAACTGGAATTAATCCAGACTGGAATTAATAATACTGAAATTAATAAAGAGTTTAATTACCATTAGTCCAGAGGCTATGAAATTTTATTCCTTTCAGTAATATCACAGCTCCTTTAACACTTTGCTGATACTTTCCAAAGTGAAAGTACAGAACCATAAAAACTCCAGATGATTTTTAAATGTTTTCTGGTGTTTTTCTTAGCTTGTTTTCTTTTTAATTACACAGAGTAAATACTGAGAGAACACTGTGAACGCACATAAGAACATTTCTTAATTTAAGTTCATGCTTTCTTATGCTGTTCTTTCCAAAAGTATTTGTAGGTAGCAGTGTGTGCACTGGAGCTGCATCACACTGCTGCTTCTCCCTAAACCTTCATGCTTCACCGTAATTCAGGCTCAAATACTTTACTTAATCCAGTGTTATTCTTCTAGATACAGATTATCAACCTGTGCAAATTAAAAAAAAAAAAAATTCTGAAGTCAGACTTCTAATAGATCACCAATTAATCCTGCAGAGTTAATTTTATTTATCATGGCAGCAAGGATTTATCTCTTGAAGAAGATAAAGTAATTAAACCATCATTGTTTAGTCTCTGCATTTTTTCTTTCAAAGTTTAAAATACAATTTTCAATTGAATAAGAAATGATAACTTTTTTTGCAAGCAGTCAGCTGTAATAATGGAAGTGGTTTTGTTTACATAAGCAAAGTAAAATCTTTTTGTGGTGCTATTTTTAGTACAGTTTTATCACTTCATTATTGCTTGTACCTTGTCTACTATTCCGGTCTTCCATCGTTCTGATTTTCTACTAAAATGGAATGTTTGGTTTTATTTTATGTGTAAATGTGGAGTAGAGGAGAAAAAAGCCAGGCTAAGTGCTTCAGAGTGCCTTTGGGACTACTGCTTTCTGAGTAGTTCTTGAAGAACTCCATTGTTTAATATATTCAAATGTCTTGAAAAGCCAGAAATAATTGGACATTCCAAGGACATTTAGTTGTTCTGTGTCAAGGTTTGAAACGTTCAGTGGTAAATGCTGCTTCCTCTGCTTGAATGCAAAGAGRCTTGGCGTCTTGATAACCGGGTTCGTTTTTCTCATGAGACCCTTGTGGTGATCAGTGCTTGTGCAGTTTAGGTCTGCTGAGATTTTGTCCCCCTGCATCTCTTCCCCCCGGCCCCTTGTGCAGCCTCGCTGCTCTTGGCAGGGTCTGTCTGCACTTCTGACGTTGCTCGGCCTCTGTCGCTCGCTGCCTCCCAGCTGTGAGCGCTCGCTGAAGTTGGCAGCTCTTGAGGGGGGTCCTGAAATTGGGTGGAATGTGATGCAAACTGAGCAGTTTTAAGGAGGGAAGCCCTAAGTCATGTATAGATTTCATGACGGCAGAAAGGTTGGTTGCGTGGCATACACCAAAATGTCTGACAGAGTTATTCCCTGCCAAATTGGTTTGAGACTGGCCGAAACCTTTTGAAGTTTTCTGGGGACATGCAGAATGAATCGTAAAAAAGCTTGTTTCCAGGGGAAGGGAAGGGGAATGGCTTCTGTCACAGGAAGTTCTGAGCGCCGATCAAGAAGCCAGACTGGAGCCTCAGTGCTGTGTGTGAGCTTGGAGATAGGGTTCCTAGTGTAAGGAGCTTAGAGAATAGTAAACTGGAGGTTTACCTGTAAATAGAGTAAATTTGAGTGGCACGTTGCATGCTCAGGATTTTGCTGGGTGATTGGTTTTATTTCTCAGTTCCATAGTGAAGAGTTAAAAACAATTGTTAATGGTTCTTAAAACTCTTATGATTTGTGACTTAATGGCAGGTAAATGAATTGTGCCATTTTTACATTTTTTGCAAGTTTATGTACATTGCATTGTGAGAATGTTTTCAGTATATCCACTGACTTCAATTAAGATGTGACTTTTATGTTACATGCACAAACCTGGCGTCTGGTCAAGCTGAATTACAAAATTACCTCTTGTTCTGTTTAGGTTTTGCCCTTAAGCCAAAATCAGTCAACGGGAAGACTCTCGTTGGCKCTGCCAAATGAAAAACCAGCTGCACTGGGGTTTCACTGGCGTTCAGTTCAGCTTTTTGCTATTCTTCATATTTTGAGCACATGAAAAATGAAAACCACTATTTGTTCTGACAGTATTGATATGTTAATCTCATTGGGATTGCCAGAAGCAAGCGCTAATAAAATTTAAACAAGGAAATAAAATATTTGAATGTTTTATTTACCTCTGAAATACCAGTTGATTCCCTAGACAAAAATCATAGAGAATCCTAAGCAGGGCATGATTCAGCCAATCAAAAAATGTTAGATTTTAACATTTACATTTCAGTCAAATGATGGATTTTGCAATTTAACTGATCTCWCCTCACTGATACAAGCGTCACTCAGCTCACTGTATTGGGAGTTGCCCGGCATAAGGAATTGCTCCTTTCTCTTCATTACACTTTGTGAAACTGGATTTCTTGCATTTGAGACTGTGGTTGTTGTTAATTGGCCTGAATGCAAAGGGAAGGCACAGTTCAATCCTAAGAACTATAAACTGTGCTATTTTGTTAAGAAAGATTACATGACTTTATTTTTCTTCACTGGTATTTTGAATGAATATAAAGTTGCTTTCTCACTGGTATCCTCCAGAAGACAATCCAGCTGAGCATCGCATTACTGATTTTGTGCATTTTCTCATAAATGTATCTCATAAGACCTTATATATGGGTTAGAAAATGGAAGATGAAGATTTAGYCCTTCCTGGTTTTGGTAGTATGTTTCAGAATAGCTTGATTTATCTATAATCAGGGTAACATAGTTTCTAAAAATGTCAGTATTGTTTGGAAAATGCTTAACATGTAGAAAATCTACTTAATGAGTGTTCTGTCAATTTGAGAGTAGTTAGTTCAGTGGTTTCAYTGAGCTGAAAAAGGGTAAGATGCAACTATATAACCTGTTACTAAGACAAATTAAATGTGCTCGTACGTGTTGTGTTTGCAAGGCAGATTTGTAGAATTTGACATTTGCGAGAGAAGGTATAGAACAGTCTGGTGACATTTCCGCATTATTTTTTGTTACAGAAAAACTGCAAAATCTCTTGTATTACTCTGACTGAAAGTCAGATAAGCAGGAATGATGGGTAAACTGTCCAGTTTTGGGTTTCTTTCTAGTTTTGAGCCCTGAGCTTACTTCYTCTGCGTGTATTTGGTCAAAAGGCAGAAAATATATCCTAGCTATAACTCCGGAGTACGAAGGAACTCTGATTTCAGACAGAACTGTCTAGTATTGCTGTGCATCTGTCAGACCTTAAGTGACTCCCTTGACTGATCCCCTTCCTTGACTCGCAGTCCGAACTCTGAAACGGATCAAAACATGGAGTGCAGGAGTTGCCGTTTCCTGCCGTTTCCTCATGTTCATATGTGCAGGGCTTACGGGCTGGTTTCGGCATTAAGGAACACTGCAATTGTGTGTCTGTCCCAGGGCAGCAGGCAGAGCGGATAATGGGTTGCGGTGGCTTTTTAGACTGGGAAACTTCCACTTTGTCTTGTTTAAGAGCTGATTAGGACACACACAATGTGAATTACAGATATCCCTTAGAAAAAATACACTGAATGAATTACAGTCTTGATAATAATTCTAAATGAATAATTATATGCATATTGATGGTTTCAGAAAGTTCTTTTTTTCTTTTTTTCCCCACTTCTCCTTCAGTGCGCTGTCTGGAGATGACAACCAAAAGGAAAATTATTGGCCGCCTAGTGCCATGCCGGTGTTTTCGTGGTGAGGAGGAGATCGTCTCCGTGTTAGATTACTCACACTGTGGCCTACAGCAGGTGCCAAAAGAGGTTTTTAATTTTGAACGGACGTTAGAGGAGCTTTATCTAGATGCCAATCAAATCGAAGAGCTACCTAAGGTAATTATTGTCCTTCCTTTAATGCTGAAGTCAAAGCAAAGTCAAATGTTGGCATAAAGAAGACACGAGCAAAGTGTTCTTTAACAATGAAATTGCACTTAGKCTTGCACGGGTGGTCTGCTTGCCATGGGCAGCTGTGGCTGCCAGAGGTGTGGCTGTTAGCTGTAGAAGCTACATTTCTTCTCATTTATTTTCTGCAGTCTCTGGAGAAGTCAAACAGCAGAGATGCTGTTCTTGCACATTGTGCAGCTTGGGGAGGAGTAGGGCATCCACTCTTTGTTTCATAAAACAAGAACTGAGGAYGCTGACTGAAGTCCTTGTTGAAAGGAGGTACTTTACACAGGAAGCAGTTAAAGATATTCAGTACTTTGAGAGATCCAGAGGACACTAAAATATGGGGCACATTATCACAAATTTGGATCATCTGTAGTGATGCTTTTGAAAGCAAACTCTGCAAGTATAAACTGCTTACAGTTTATTGTAAGCAGTTGTTATTTCTCCTACAGGTTTCTCCTTGTAGGAGAAATGCCAGTAGCGCTTGAGTAACTTTTGCTTAATGATAAGCATTTTGGCGTGGTGTTGAAGTCCTGCACTGAGGTTACACTTCCTGTGTAAAATGCTCTGCCTGGAATCTTCAGATTTGGTCTTCTTGTGTTTAATGCTGCTGTAAAAAATAAAAAATTTATGTATGCTTAAGTGCTCCAGAAGCAAAAGAGGGCAATGTAGAGGAAGAAATAATTAACAGTAGGTGCCTGCTACAGTACATAATTAAGCTTGATGTAATCCATTCTTAATTTAATTTTTCTTAATGGTAATGAAAGATGCTTACAAGTCTTTTAATTAAACATCATTCTACTGTAATCATTTTTTCTCATCTTTCAACATACTTATKTGCATTACACAGAAATTTTACACAAATTCTATTTACAAGTGTAGAAAATGTGCTTTTTTCCTTACATGATGTTCCTGTAGTCAGATGTGATGGTTCATTGCTGAAGAATGTAACCCCATCAGTAGTTTCTCTTACAGCAGTATAGTTGTCAGGTCTTCAGGGGTCAAAGGAAATGATACAGAAAAGTGACATATTTCTCCTAGTTCTAGAAAAGACAGAAAAGTAATGTGGAGTTGGTTTAGCCTTGATTTCAAGGTTAATGAATGCCTTCAGGGCTGTTTTGCTTTTAATTATAAACTGGTTAACTTTGCATGTTTTAATTATGCTACTGAAGAATATTACAGAAGGATATGTAAGTCTCCAGTTTAGCTGAGGGTTGCTGTTAAATTTATCTCAGATTTCAATGGTACAAAGTATGTACCATTATGGTACTTAGAGTTAATTGTAGTGCGTATTATAAGACAAATATATCAAGATTCAGGATGGAGGAACATACCRCAATTGCGTGTGAAAAACAGAGTGCAAGGTAAAGAGACCAGTGGTATGAAGTTGAGGTGAAAGCGATAGCTACCACTGCCGAGGTCCCAGCTCAAATGTGAGCAAACACTTACATTGGGTTTTGATATTGCCTGGGTTGTGTATGTCACTTGGAAATTAAGCAACAAATAAAAAATAGTTTGGAGGCATTTGAGTAAATTGGATTATTTCTATGCTTTTATCTCATTTTTCATTGTTTATAAGTACTGTTTTGAAGCTAATGCTATGTATTGAAAAATCCTTTAAATCGAGTCTATGATTATGTAAATAATGTTGTTTTACATGTTGTTTAAGAGAAGCTTACTGGGAGAGTAAAATATGCCTCCTTTATACAATTCATAACTTTTAATATCTTAAGCCTATTCTCACTTATTAATCATTACCTTAAAGGCAACAATCCAAGTGATTTCATTCTTAAATTTTCTGCCTAAAATAATTTTTCCTACTTGTCTGCAGACTTTCTTCTTTCTGATATTTAATTAATATTCTAGGTGAGAGAATGCCATAATTTACTAAAATGACATTATAATCCCTAACATTATCTCTTTATTTCTCATAGCAGTCTACCTAAAGCAGAGCTTTTCTCTGTAAGTGAGCTCAAACAATTGCTTCTGGAGAAAATTTGTCTATGCCAGGTTTTATTTTGTATTTAACAAATATCTCTGAAGTTACTCATAAGGTAGTATTGTAGTATTACTTGCTGCCTGGTACTCTTGAAATGAGTAAGTTATTTTGCAGGCCTGATGTTTCTGAGGTATTAAACTAATTCTGCCTGTCTTTTTTGAATCTTCACCTTACATTTTGTGCCTTGTGATGTATTTTTTTTGTTATCTCAATGGAGCAGGATTTCTAGGTCCTAATTTCAAATTCATTGCCTTTTTCTTAGAGGTTTAGAATAGTTCTGTAATTGTATATTTTCACTTAAGCGTAGCCAAGACTCTTCTCTCTTTGGCTTTTGACTTCATTATTATGAGCTGCTGCAGCAAGTACATCCCTATGTGTCCCATAAGTGCACCCCACAGTCCAGTGAGTGTCATTGACTCTTAAAAAAAAAAATTTAAATAAAGTAATTGGTAAGCAGGAATGAAATGTGTATGACACATCTGATGTGTGTAACATGTAATTTATATTTCTATGGCATAAATGAAAGTTCTTCCCAGCAGAAGAATATTTCCCTTATAAATGTTAAGTAAAATCAGCACTAATGTGATGGAGAAAATTAATTTACTTGTTAATGACTTGTGGAGAATCCATCTCTCTAATGATAAATTCTAGAAATAGCCACTCCTGTCTTTTGCTGTGGAGTGAGTAGGGAAAACGGGTGTCAGTGATGCTAAATAGGCTCCTGTGGTCAGAGATAGAGGGTCACCCAGGGCTTAAGGGTCTCGMCGAAACAACCCTACAGGCAGCGTGTAGCGGCACTGCGGCAGGCACTGGTGTAGAGCTCACTTACATCAGCTGTGAGTATTTTAAATCAACTCTTAAGTTCCTTTGTATTTCATTTGAGGTTTGAGCTGTAATCTCCATCAASTGAATTGGCTGGTTTCTGAAGCTGCTGAAAGCAGAGGGTGTTGGTGTTCTGCAGGGCCGGGAGTGCGGCGTGTTTGTGATCCTGACCTCCCATTCCTCAGCTGCAATAGGCAGTCTGCTTCACAGCTAAACCTACGGAAAGCCAAGGACTGAGGTTTTAATAATATTTTCTAATGGCCCTGGAATCAGTCAACCTGTATTTGTACGTGCCCACACACTAGTAATAGTCCGTTGTTATAACTTAAATCACAGCATCGTTAGTTCCACTTGATCCCCGGGCTAATAGGAATAAAAATAGTACTTGAATATACAGTATGTTGATTACATGAAAATCCTGATGGCAAGGCCATAAAGCACTAGAAATTGAGAAAGATACCTTTGAAAATCCATTGGCTAAAAATTATGAATAGTCTTGGGCATATGTAACTGATATATCTGTATTGCCACTCTTCTATTATTGTTGATAAAAAAGTACATCATAAAATCTCTCCAGAAGGAATATATTTTCCCAAAGAGAGTAAGTTTTTATCATCTTCACTAGTTCTGCAGCCTCTGTTGAGAGTGATTTCTCTTAATTATCATTGTCCTTGAATGAGGGAGTTTGGCTTTTCAGGGTGTGCAGGAACCCTGGCTGTTGCTGTACATGAGCAAGGAACTGCAGACCCCTGCCTGGAAGTTGTTCTCTCGTATTTCTAAGGTGGTCACCTGTCCCGAGAGAAACCGTGATTTAAAGTTTATGGCAGTACATTACTTGCCATTTGTATCATTTTCTGTAGATACTTGGGTGATCTCTTTATTTCATTCAGTGGGCAATTGAATGATAAAACATTACTAAATATCCTGCCAGGGAGTATAGAGACTTTAAGCTGCTCCTGAAGTCTGAATGAACAAAAAAAGTCTGCCCTAAACATAGCACTGGTACTTGAAGAGCACCTTCTTGACGCCTGTAAAGGGAAGGCGTTCTTCCCTGGGGCCCATAGGGCTGTTTAAGGCCATGGCACGGACTGGTGTTCTCAGGCAGGCCTGGGCTGCTGAGTGACGTCCAGCCGCAGCCGCGGGGCCGGCGCGCGGAGCCACGCTGCAGAGCCCGGGTGGCTGGAACGGCACGGGGCCGCGCCAGGAGCTGCAGAGCGGGCAGSCGCCGGCGCCTGCCCGCCCGCGCTCACGCCCTGCGCTTCAATTAGCAGCAAATTGAATTAGACATTTTGGAAATCTTGAATTAGAGTGAAATACTGGAATTCGGAGTCCAGAATTTTAGGAGGATATAGAGAATGTCTCATTTTGATATTGTCATAATATTTTGTTTCTTGAAGGCAGCAAATTTTGTCTGTGTAGAGTGAGGAAATAACTAAAATCTAATAAACAATTAGATTAATTTATGCAAACAAATATTTTGACTTACTACAAACCACTAAAAATTCTTTTTTTATATGACACATTTCATGAAATAGCATGTTCCTACAAAATGCAAATTATAGTACGTATGCAGTTTTTGACAGAAAACTCCACATTTTTTGAACTGTTCAACAACCAATCAACTGTGCTGGTTATTCTTGTGGTTCGTATTATTCTAGTTTAAAATACTGTTTAGCCTTTTAGAAAATCTACTATAATAATATCATTAAATTTTTCTTTTTTATTGTTGTATTTTTATGCAGTAAAGATAATCTTACATTATAGATTGCTTTTGTGTATAAATAATGAAATTGACTTTTCCTGGAAATGCTATGAAGTCTTTTTTTGTATTACAGCAACTGTTCAACTGTCAAGCTTTACGCAAACTCAGCATACCTGACAATGACCTTTCAAGTCTGCCAACCACTATTGCTAGCTTAGTTAATCTCAGAGAACTTGATATCAGTAAAAATGGTAAGAGATCAAAAGAACACCTATTCTAMAGAATTGCAATGGCTATGTAAACCGCAGTAACTTCTGGTCTACAAAAGTTTGCATTTTTCTGGTCAATGTAATAATTTCCTGCCTGGCACTTCTAAAAGGTCTCTGTAGGTACCTACCATTTGTAAGTCCTCGTATGTTAGTCTGCTGAAGGCAGGTCACTGCGCCGGCGTAGTGGAGCTGCGCCTGCTGGGCACTAGAAACAGGCGTGGGGCGGCCATGGGGCGGCATGTCTCCGTGTGCTGCCGTGGCCCGTTTCCGGATGGCGTAGGGGTTCTGGCCCCTTTGGGGTCAGGATGTGTTAATATTTACAAGCACATAAAGCTGCAGGTGAACAGCTACCAGTATTGCCATTGCTAGTGACTAACTAGATGTGCTTTTTCAAGGTACATTTACATAATCACAAGCCTAAAAATCCTTGCATGGGTGTGCTCAAGTGCCTTTCTTTTGAAACTGAAAACTAGGCACTCTGGACAATGTTGTTATCAGTATAAACAGATACTTTCTGGATTATATGTGTGCAGTCCAGGGAAGAAAGGGAGACTAAGAAGGAATAGGTGGGCAGTTCAGAAGAGGCACAACTGCTCGTTAGTACAAGGGATTTCAGTCTGTAACTGTAGAAAATCATATAAATAATTAAAGCAGGATTTTTGTATTTCAAGATATATTATCTGTTGTGATATATTTATTTGACGCTTAAGTATTAGCTGTAAATTGTAATATTACCTATATATTTTTAAATTTATTGCTAAATTCTGAATAGAATTTATAGTTGCATCCTGCATTAGCAGTAAAAAATATCAAATGGACTAATTATGAAGAAAACAAGCTGTTCATTTTTTTCATGTTTGTATAATGCTTCTTTCAATATATTTTTAGGAATTCAAGATTTTCCAGAAAATATTAAATGTTGTAAGTGTTTAACAATTGTTGAAGCCAGTGTCAATCCGGTCTCAAAGTGAGTATCAATAGTTTGTGCTCGTATATTGCAAGATCAGAAAATCTGTGCAAAATTAACTAAAATGTAAAGGCACAATACCAAGTTCATTTGCAAGGTTAATTCAAATTAATTTTTAGTTATTTCAAATCCAAAAGTAAGGATGACATTTTTCTAGGTTGATGTAGCTATAAAAAGATCCTTCACTATGCAACAGATGTAGTGTCTCTCTACACTGTAAAGGAAACTTTGGTAAAGCAATCTATATAGTGCAGACTTTTAAACATAGCGGGTGGACGCTTTATGTGCAGGGGAAGTGAGCCATGCTATGTCCTCATTTATCCTGGTCAGGATCTTGACAATCAGTTTTCCTGTCAAAACCTTAAAATAATTGGGTTAAAAAAAAAAAAAAAAAAAAACCCCACTCCTAAAATTGGAGGGGGGAAAAGGCTGAGGTAGCTTAAAAATCCCAGAAGTTTGAACTTGATCAGGTGATGGCAAAAGAAGAAAATAGGCAAAAAAAAAATGCCTGTAAGTAAATTCCTGAGTAGCTGGGTAGAAAAGCAAGGTGAGAGAGAGACTCGTGTGTGTCATCTTTCTTTTTATAAATATACATTGTTATTATTTCCATAGCAACTTGAGTACCAGGATTAAGCTTTTAATTATTTTTTAGGCTACCAGATGGCTTCACGCAACTTGTAAACTTGACCCAGCTCTATCTAAATGATGCCTTTCTGGAGTTTCTTCCAGCTAACTTTGGAAGGTAAGAATTAGTCTTACAAGTACATTACCATTTCCTGTAAACCCAGTTTAGTTTTAAAGGATTGTTTAAGAGCTGTGTTTATTTAAAAGAAAATACTGGAAGATACAGGCTTTGCCTCTTCAGCCCTGTTTTGATGAATGATTGTTGTTAGAGAGAATTTTATGTCAGCAAGAATTTTATGATGAAGTGATGCAATTTGGTGGTTTAGGGAAAAGGTGGGAAGAAATAGAAAATAAGAGTCCTGTCCTTGATCAAATGTGTTATTAAATTGTGGCAAGGACAGAAAATAACAATATGGTCTGTGTCTRTTGAAAAATGAACAGAAATAGAAAGCACTGTGAGTCCAAAAGGAGGATAAGAAATGACTTAGCATAGTGGAGTAGCCAAAGCGAAAATAAGAAAGCGAGAGCAAGAGAGATTTGCAAAAATCAAAGAGTAGAATGGGATTAAAAATAAATGCAGTAGAACTGAACCGAAAGATAGGTAAGCATAAACCAGAAGGGACCCTCCACCTGCAGAATTGGCGCATCTTGCTTTGGTCATTCAGAAGAGCAGTAGGAGCCATGTGTGAGTTTAGCAGAAATGGCAGTTTCATTCTACCTCCATTCCACTGGGAAGGGAATGAGCAGCATTTCCACCCTCCTTCAGGCAGCTACTCAGAATTCAGTTGTGGCTTAGGTGATATTGCCAGGTAGTGTTTGCGCAATGATACTGATRTGTGAAGCACTGTTGTACCCAGGTTCTGGTTCATGTGTTCAGCTTCTGCTCAAAATACATTAAATTTGATGGAGATCAGTTCTCTAGTGTATTTCTGCCTTTGTGGAGCTGCAGAAGTCGGGACTAGAACAGTGCCAAAAGAAGTGGTGAGCCTGTACCACAGTTGCTTTTAACTGGAAGCATTTGAGATAAGGTAACTTATGGTGTTTGTCTTGTTGGAGTAGACAAAATGATTCCTATGAATTCTTGAATGAATTCTTTGATGGAGCTAATTGATTTTTTTCTATTTCCAGACTTGTCAAATTGAGAATTTTGGAGCTGAGAGAGAATCACTTGAAAACTCTACCAAAGTAAGTGATGGAATATTTTGATAACTCCCTTTTCCAAAAATGCAAAGTGTTTTTACTATTAGCAATGCCTTTGTTATGAGTTACTTTTTCAACTGTTTAAAGAAATTTTAAGGAGAAAGAATAAACATAACATATGAACGGAGGTGTATATTGGTAAGCGGGTGATTATAATAACGTGCAAAATCTATAAATTCATTAAATGTGTAACATTTAATGAAAGGACATAAAAACAAAATATGAGATACCTCTGGTTAGTGGTGATGTAACAGTATTTTTGTCTACCAGAAGCAACTAATTTTTTTAAAATGCATTAATTGTGACCTTAGCAGAACTATCTCGCCATGATCTGCACAGATGTTAGTACATTTTTTTTATTTTCACAGTACAGTTTATATGTTCGCATTTTAGCATGTTGAAGAAGTAATCCAGATTGATATTATTTCTTGGTACTATTTACAGAGAGAGGAAAAAAAAAAAAAAAAAAAGTGTATTTCTGAAGGATTTATGACCAGTTGACCTGCACTTGGAATTGCAGGGGGCATATGTCCTCGTTATAAGGGAGATTTATTATGGAGACGTTAGACTATGTATGCGAGCTTGCTGACACTGAATTGCCTTTTACTTGGCTCATTTTAACAAGGGCACCCTTTTTCCTAGGCATGTGTTTATCCAAACGCTATGTGTAAGCCTTTTGCCTTTGATACAAGGATGTATTCATGGCTTTCTATGGGCGTCTTCCTAAAGGCAAAACTTTTTTTAAAGATATTTCTCATGCAGTATTCTTAGTGTCAGTGGAACATGTGCTTTTTTTTTTTGTATAAACTTAATGATTTTTTTTGTATAAACTTCTCTGTTTTTAATTATTTTTTAGAAAAGCAAGAATAAATTATAGTCGTTGTAGTCGGCTGCCAAGGCCTGTACCTGCGTGTAGATGAGCCCTGTTCCCTGGAGCAGGTTCCTAGTCTTTACATGTGCAACCTCGATACCTGCCCAGCCTCGCGGGAGCCCCAAGCTCAGCCCCTCGCGGGGCAGCGCTTCTCGTCCCGGGGAGGCAGCCTGGCCCCTCAGCACTTCCTCTGCACACACCTGGGGTAATCCCTCTTGCCGTGGTCTCAGTGCAGTGGCAAGCCCAAGCAACATCAAGCGATTCCCACTGTACTGCAGCAGTACCAACATGCATGTCTTATTCCTCGACACAGATTCTGATGACATCGTTTACCCAGTTAGGAGTACGGCAGTGCAGTGCCTCGTTCTTGTGCGCAGAAGGTCTTGTCAGAGCCAGTGGGTCATGTGTGCTAGGTTGGAGGGAGCAGATTTCCGCAGGGGAGCGGGGGTCCTGCACAATATTGGTTTATCTCTGGGCTAATTGCTTAAGTGGTGAGTGCTTTGCTTGCTTCAGTGGCAGCAGCATGGGACAGGATTGTTTTGTTTGATATTGTTGTTAATAGAAATTATGTGTTTTTTTGTTACTGTTTTTGTTCTTTGACTGCTGTTGTATTTACCAAGTGTCCAAGTGTTTTTGGTGTTTGCTGAACAGTAGTGGGCTTTGCCAGGCAACTTTTGTCCTTTCAAGTTTAGCAAATGTTTGGAAAATGCCAACTGAAGCAGAGTAGCTTCTGTTCTCAATAGCGTTATATTTGATCAAGTGGCTGTCTGATTTTTTCCCACTGTATAATTTTTAAAGTGAGGACATTCTTTCATTTCTATAACTATAAGGGAAGCATTTTTCAAGGTTATGTTTGTTGGCAGTTCTGCGCTATGGCAGGTGGTTTTGCTAGATACTGAGATGAATTTGAAATAGAAAGTTTTGTTTGTGCAAGTGCTCTGAAAAATGATAGATTATAAAGCACAGCTGCATTCTGAAGTAAAGTCGAAGTACAGGAAATTTGACAGCCATTTTTGTATCAGCTGGGACAAAAATGGGAGATCTGTGTTTTTCTGGGCCCCTTTTATGCCATTGAGCAKGTTTCTGTGCAGGCAAAACCCAAAATGCACAGTGCAGTGGAGGGACAGGAGCTAACACACATGGTAGGGCATCAGCTTAGGGGATACAAGCCCTGCCTCCTGCTTAGGGGGAGTGTGGAATGTGTCCTTTACTAAAAGAAAGCCTGGTCTAGAGCAGCGGCCGCTTTCCTACGGGAGGGCGCGAGCTGAGGGCCGAGCACGGCGGCTGTGCAGGGAGGGCGCGAGGGCAGGGGCGGCCGCGCGGAGCTGCTGCGGGTGCCCCGCTGCTCGCTCCGGTGCTCACTCCAGCTTCCCAGCAGGGTGGGACAGTTTTATCTTCGCAACCAGTAAGAGAAATGAGGTGGTGTCGAGCGCTCTGTGCTTGCGGTGCAGGCACCTATAACTGCRGAAACGAACATAAATCAAAATATGTATCACAATGTAGCTGTGAAACATGTGATGTAGCTCTTTCAGATATGTTCTTGAAGGCTTTTATTCTTGGCCTACAATTTATTTGCTGTAGCATAAGTAAATCAGAAAACCTGATGATGTTGGTACTTTGTCCAGTAGTTCTAATATAACAAAAAAAAAAAAAAAACACATGAAGACAAGCAAATGATTTTATTTTAATTGTAGAAGTGAGTTTTATATGCTGCATGATCATCTTAAGTAACTTYGGCTAACTCAGTACTACTAGTACACTAGATGCAATTTCAAAGTTGTTCACAGGASAATTATTAAAAATATCATATTCTACCATCTGTTCTCTGCATATGTACATTTATATGTGCTTTTTTTAAAAGAAACTGTTCAGTATTTTGGTATGAACATGTATTAAATACATTTTGTATATACCCTAGCTCTCTGTTGGCTCATATCAACAGTACCTGAAAGGCAAGGGTTCTCGAGCCACTGATGAAAGGATCAAGTTAAATAAACATGAACAATAGTTTGCTGAAATGCAGCTTTCTAAGCAGAGCATAGATCTCCAGGGTGTACCCATTTAGTACATGTTGCATTAAAGAATAGGAAATTTTTGGACTAAAATTGTCTAAATAATTTTATCAAAAATGTGGCCAAAATATCCCTGTATAGGCAGATGCTTCCTTGATAGAAAGTTAGTAATTCATTGTTCATAAAAGTTTTGAATTTTTTCCTGATATTTTTTACTGACAAGCATACTAAACATTTCAAGGAACTCTGCCTTGCTGTATCATATGTTATTTTTCAAATGACAGTGATGTGGGATGTTCCTATTTTCTGTATGCAGTATTTTCGCTTTAGAAAATTATTAGTAGACTGGCTGGTATTCTTAGGAATTGTTTATCCTGAAAATGTATGTTTATTYGACAGCTTCTTACAATATTTTATGTAATGACTTATTTTCTCTTTCACGTGATTAAATATTATTCAGGACTATTGCCTCTATTTGCCTTAGAGATATCTCAAATCTTTGGACAATATTTCAAATGATTTCAAATATTATGTTAATGTGTTATTATATTAATGTGATGTGACTTTTGAGAGCCTGACATATTTTCCGTTTGAACGGTGTTACCTGCTAGATCACAGGGGTGCCTTTGGCTTGAAGGGCAAAAGGAGATAACTTCTTACATTTCTACGTAAATACGAGTAGACATTTGAGCAGTCACTTCCCTTCAAAGAAATTTATTTGTGTTATATTTATCCACATAACCACTTGTTGTGATATTTAGAAGTGATTGCGTTAGTTTATCTGGTACAGATGCCAAGGTCAGTGGTCTGTGGTTACATTCAAGTTTCATTCTTTCCACCTTTCATTCATTCTCCATGAGCAAATGTTCCCATGCGTGGAGCCTTCCCAAATTCCAAAGACAGAAATAGAAATTGAATTTTCCTGCTGTGATCTTCTCTCTGAGCATCTCTTTTATGCCTTTTCCACAGAGTCTGGCAGGCTTCCTGCTCCCGAGGTTCTTGACAAAAGATTGATTAGTAGTTTTTGTACCTTTTATCAAACATTTTGGAAGACATTTTCGGTCATTTCATATTTAATATTTTTTTTCTGTTTTCCTGATTTGGACACATTTCATCTTTTTGTAGGATTTCTTCTAAATCTTTTCTGTTCTTCAGCCATGTTTCCTTTGGACTTTCTCAGGCCCTCTTGGCAGGTGGTATTTGATAGCTTTGATCCTGCACATGCCCTCTAGGCTTCTCCCAGCAGAGATGTAGCTTGCTTGTCTGGTGGAGAGGACATCTCACTGGGATTATTTTCCCCTTGAATTCCCCAGACTTTTCCTGAGAAAGGCTGGAGCTGCTAAACTCGGAGACCAGGCATTATTGCTGATGCCACCTCGTGCTGTGTGCCCAATGCTCACTGGTCAGTGCAGGAAGGGTGTCCTGGCAGACCATTTGTCACAGCACCTTACAGCCCTGGGACTGTTTGTCCATGTCCTGGAAGCGTTGTGGTTGGAAATTACCTTCAGGATCACTGAGTCCAGCTGTAAACCCTTCAACACCGTCCTGCTAAACCATGTCCGTAAGCGCCTTGTCTACACGTTGAACACTACCAGGGACGGTGACTCCCCCGCTTCCCTGGCAGCCTGTTCCAATGCCTCAGCACTCGGGCTCTGTAGAGATTCTTCCTAATGTCTGACCTGAATCCCCTGGCACAACTTGAGGCTGTTTCCGCTTGTCTTATCTGTAGTTATTSTGGCCTCACTACAGCCTCCGAACAGGCAGCTGTAGAGAGCAGTAAGGTCTCCCCAGAACCTCCTCTTCCTTCCTCTGCCCTCTTCCAGCTCTCTGTATAGGTGTGTGGCACAGTTACTTGCAACTCTTTCACTGGTCGTGTCTTAAGTACTGAGGCTGTGTTAAAGGGACTCAAAAGATCAAAGCTTTCTAAACAGCATTATAAAATGTCCATTAAAAGCTTGTGTTATTTTGTTTTAAAGCAGTATTAATTATGAAGTAGATGAGATTCTGCCTCGACAATGCTTATAAAATGACAGCAGGTATTCTGCAGTGCTTCAAGTTTGCAAGTCAGAGGTATCTAAATCTGTAGAGTTACAGCCTTTATG